GCCCAACACCCGGCCGGAGTACCAAGACCTTGTCAGATGCAAGGCATAGAAGAAAAGGAAAATAAAATAAAATAAAACCAAACAGAGAGAACTCCAAAATAAATGGTAAAAACAAAACTAAACAGAGAAAGTCACACAAAGAAACATACATATACACACTCACAAAAAGAAGAAAAAAAAAAAAAGTACAGACTGAACCCCAAGAGAAATGGTAAAAGCAAAACATAAAATCACACAAAGAAACATACACACACATGCTCACAAAACGAAAAAAAAAAGCGAACAGACAGAAAGAACCCCAAGACAAATGATAAAAGCAAAATTAAATGGCAAAATCACAGAAAGAAACACACACACACACTCAGAAAAAAGAGAAAAAAAAAAAAAAAAGGAAGAGAGCAACCAAACCAATAAATAAACCCACATATGAAAACAGACACTAAAAACTAAACTAAACTAAACATAAAACCGAAAACAAATCAAATGCAGAAAGCAAACCCCAAGTCTACAGTTTCCCCCAAAGTCCACTGCCTCAACTTTGGGAACACTGATTGTCTATTCAGGTATTACACACATGCAGTGTTTACCAAGCTGATTGTAGGGATTTAACCCGCTGTTCCTGAGGCTGCACAGAGAGATTTCCCTTTCTCTTCTTTGTTCGCACAGCTCCTGGGGTTCAGCATTGGTTTTGGCCCCACCTCTGCATGTAGGCCACCCTCAGGCGTCTGTTCCCAACCAGACAGGAGGGAGTTAAAGCAGTGGCTGATTAGGGCTCTCTTGCTCACTCAGGCCAGGGAGAGGGAAGGATATGGTAGTCACAATTGGAATGCGGGGCATGCCTGTGGTGGCAGAGCCCAGCATGATGTTGCAATGTTCAACTCCCAGGGAAGTTGACCCTGGATGACAGGACCCTGGCAGTGGTGTGCTGCACAGGCTCACACAAGGTGTGGGTAGTGACCTGCGTTTGCACACAGTATCTTTGGGGGCAGCATTCGCAGCAGTAGCGGTCTGTGCCTGCCTCTGGGGTCTGAGATGATAGCCACTGCTTGTGCCCATCTCTGGAGCTTGCTTAGGTGGTGCTCTGCTGCCTGTGGGTACACAGAGCAGGAAGCCCCTCTCCTTGTGTACCCCGCAACAATGGTCTCTTGCTTCTCCTGCACGTCCAGACTTTTCCCAGACTCCCTCCCAGCTAGCTGTGGTGCATTAGACCCCTTCAGGCTGTCTTCATGAAGCCAACCCCAGTCCTCTCTTTGGGGTCTGCCCTATGAAGCCCGAGCCTCAACTTCCAGCCCCCACCTGCCCCAGCAGGTGAGCAGAAAACAGTCTCAGATGGTGAGTACTGGTTGGCACCATTCCTCTATGCAGGAATCTCTCAGCTTTGCCCTCCGCACCCCTGTAGCTGCACTCTCCTCTGTGGCTCCAAAGCTTCCCCCACTACGCTCCCTACCAGTGAGAGGGATTCCTTGTGTGTGGAAACGTTTCCCCCTTCACAGCTCCCTCCCATAGGTGCAGGTCCCATCCCTATTCTTTTGTTTCTTTTTCTTTTGCCTTACCCACATATGTGGGGATTTTCTTGCCTTTTTGGAAGTCTGAGGTCTTCTGCCAGTGTTCAGTAGGTGTTCTGTAGGAGTTATTCCACATGTAGATGTATTTTTGATGTATTTGTGGGGAGGGAGTTGATCTTCACGTCTTACTCCTCTGCCATCTTGTAGGTCTATATAAATGTTTTCTTAAGCCCAGTTTATCACTGATACAGTCATCTTCCTTCTGTCTCCCTCTACCTCTTTTCTCTTTTATCCTTCCTTATTTCTTCTTTTTCTCTTTTTTCCTTTCATTTTGGCATTGGTTTCATTTTTACCATTTAGGGATTTTAATACAAAGTTCAATTTTAGAGTTAAGAAGAGAATGCAGTGATAAAGTAGTATTAGTAGTAGTAGTAACTGTAACAAGTGGCAGTAACAGCAGCAGGATCAACGTTATTATCATCTTCATTATCACCATGATAATTTTCACCTTAACTCATGCAAATGTTGCCTGATTTTAAATACCAGCATTGTGTTTACCTAAGTGTGTAGTGAAATTCTCTTCCTTAATTTATGAAAATGTCATCATAGAATAAAAAGACACAATGGCAGAATTTGGAATAAATACGTATCCTTATAGAAGAGTAGGAAATTAAATACAGTAAGAGTTGTTATATTTTTAAAGCTTTGGTGAGAGACCAAAAGAACTTAATATTGTACGTTAGATTTTTCGAATATTAGGGGATTTAATATAACTTAATTTTTCTGGTACTTCATTTGAAATAGTTCTGCTTCTTCAGCATAGTAGAAATTGATTAACTAGAAATACAGCTTGTCCTGATTCTTTACTAAATTCCACATCATATAAGTTTAAAGTTATACAGACTTAAAGTCATACATTAAGTTGATGGGTAATTTAAAATTAGAAAAAAGGCATGTTCAAAATATTGACTTATTTGTAACTATTTTTCTCTGCTTCTCACGTTCACTTTAAATATATCAAATGAAGTGCTCACATAGTAATAGAGACGGTCAGGGTCTAAATGAATAGATAAAAATTTCAGAATAAATACGAGAATTAATATCTCAAGCCCCCACCAAAATTTCTTGTTTGAAAATATATTATGACAGATAGGATATATTTAAGATGTAGGAAATACTTAAGATGCATTTGTGGAAATATATTCAAGGGAAATTAATAAATATGAAATAAACAGGAAAATATTTTATAGGGTATCTCTGCTTGAAGACTGAACTGTATTCTCTCCTAGAAAATTCTAGATATCAACTAACAGGTTAGTCAGAGATTTAAAGTGTCATTTAAAAATTAATGATATATAACAAAGATTTCATTTTAGGGTTTAAAATTATAATGTTAAAATATTATTTGAGGATGTGTAGATACATACAAAAATTAAAATAATTTTAATAATTTAATTTCAATAATTATCAGGCATTCTTCCCAAATTAATACTATTTTCTGAAAACAGAGGTTATAATTTTGCCTTTTTTCTTGCTGAAAAAATAGTACAGTTTTCCCCTATTATCTGAAAGTAGAGGGTTCCAATGAAAATTTTCATTAGTAGAAATGATACAAGGGAAAGAAGCAATTAACTTTTTTTCATAAAAGCTAAACTCCTCTTTGGATTTCTTTCCATTAGTGAAAACAGATACTAATGTAGTTCTTTTGTAAAAGTAAAGTGGCATAAATTGAACTTTAGAAGAGTGGGGCATACCTGTATTCCATACTCTTTTTCTCCCATTCACATGGATATTTTTCTGTGAAATGAGTCTCTTGATCCAAAGAACTATGAACCAAAGAGACAATCTGTCGCACCCACACATAATGTATTTTAATGGAACAGAGAGAACATTCTAATCAATGCTTGTCTCTTTAGTTTCCTTTAATTGAGATGAGTACCAGCCATTTTCATTTTCTTCCATGATAATGAATTTTAAAGAGTCCAAGCCAGTTGTTTGTCAAAATGCTCTCCATATTGTTTGTTTGTTTTCTCACAATTAGATTCAAGTTAAACATTGTTGGAAAGGATGAAACATAGGTGATTATTAGCTAAGGTTTTATTACCAGGTGATAGATGAAAAGTCTTAAGATGCTGATCACTATTTACATGTGCTGCTCTTTTTTGTCAGGTGTCAATGCTTGGGGCAGTGATCTCTGACCAGAACTGGAATAGGGTCATTTGAAATATTTGGTAGGCAGATTAATAATGACTCTCCTTCCCCCACCTCCCCACCCCATCCTCTGGTTATTCCATCAAACACTAATGTAGGTAATTCTGTGAAGGCACTTTGCAGATGGAGTTAAGGTTACTAAGTGACTTTAAGAAGAAGTTGACTATTCTGAATTATTTGGGAGGGCCCAATCTCACGAGCCTTTAAAAGGAGTGTAATGAACAAGTGAAAAAAGTATTTCACCATGTTAAGTGTTAGCAAGGGTATGTCGCTTAGATTCAGAGCAACATTCCCAAGTTAGCATAATCAGTCAGTTTTCTTAAGGTTAATATGTGTTAAAAGGGTACATCCCACATTGTTATGGGTTTCCTCCTACCTAGATACCACTCTTTGCTCTCAGATATGAGAAATCCATTTAATACCCCATGGTTTCCCAAGATTATTATAAATAGACATCAACCTTGCCTGTTCCTATATCTTTTGCTGCTATAAACTCACTAATTTCCCTGTGTCATTCTCTAGAATTCATGTGTACCCATGTATAAACATGGTTTACACTCTCTCTCTCTCTCTATATATATATATTTTTTTATATATATATATAATTAAAATATATGTTAATAATATCTTAATTTAACGATATATTAGAATCCAGATATTTTCTAGCCCTGTCTACCAAGAAAACCTAGAAGCAATGACACTGTAGTAGCAATGAACACACCCAGCATTCAAATTTTGCTTTCTATTAAAAAGAGCCAGCTCTTTGCAGAAATGGTTGATTCTAGGGCTGGGATAGAAAATATACAACAGGATCCACTTGTATACTTTGTCTTATGCTTTTAGCAAAGGGAAAAGCGATTGAAGGAATTTGACCAGATAAAAAAAATCTGATTTATGCTTGAATAAAATTACTCTGGTTCTTCTGTCAGGGACATAGAATAGGATGCTATTATATTAATGAGGATGACAGAAGATGGTGGAAGTAGGGAGAAGCAGTCAGTTTCTAGATATGTATTGAAAATGAAGTTGGAGTATTCTGATTCATTTGGAGGAGAAATAGAATGTATATCTAAGGGTGGTTTGTGTATGAGAAAGAGGGAAAGAACTTAAATGTAACCCTTACCCAACCTCCAGGGTTTTTTTGGTCTGAGCTACTGAGTATAAGTTTTCAAAAGGTGAGATGGAGAAACACTGTGAGAGAAGAAAATTGGTGGTGGGGGGTGAAAGATCAGAAAATCAGTTGTGTGCATGTTTATTTAGATCCATCTTTTGCCTTCTATGTAGAATTACACATTGGCTGTGAATCTATATTTAAGTGCAGAAATCTGGACTAAAGATATAAATCTGGGGATCATCTGCCTATTTCTCATATTTAACTTTGAGACTGGATCAAATCACCAGGTAAGTGAGTGAATGTACATAGGGTAAAGAATCCCCAGACTTAAACTTAGGGCACTACTAAGTTCACTGTATTTTAGATCCATAGTCCTAAATACAATTCCATCTAAAATATTGTTTTTGCTAAATTGAATTTTAATTATGACCATCACTGCCTTAAAAAAGTGACTTAGAATGGAGATTTTAGGCCCTATGAGGATACAAGTGAAGTTAGATTTTGGGGGCTGAAGTGCTTTAATAACCATTTCCTGAACTTTCTACCAGCTACTAAAATTATTCTGATAATGGCGGAAATTTAATTTGTTACCACAGTGTGTATAGGGGGTTAAAGCACACATTTTGTTATTTTAACTACTCTGTTTTGGCCTATAAATTCATAAAACTTCTGCATTTCATTTCATGACAAATATTTGTCTTAATATAAATTAAAAACTCTCTGTGAATATATACCAGGTTTAGCCTATCTTTAAATTTGTCTCTCAGATAGCTGTCTAACCCTAGATTTTGAGTGGTTCATCTTCAAATCAAGTGATATAAATAGCTATATGGCTTAATCGTTTAATTTATAGGGTGTGGAATGCTGGAATCATATTCTCTATTACTTAGTTTGGGTACATTTTGCAATCCCATTAAATGTCAATTTCCTAATCTATAAAGTGGATTCAATAATAATACTTACAAGGATAGTGTTAGTTATTAGAGAAAATCTGTTTAAAATGCTTAAATTAATAAGTAATAGCTAGCTATTGTTATCATGTATATAACTAACACAATCTCTAACATTACTGAACAAAGGTCATATATTTAAGAAATTCATCATCTCCTTTAGAAAACATCCAGCCCATAGAAAGTACTTAATATGTAGTTATTATTCTGATTATTATTGCCTTTCATTTCAAGGTCAAGAGAAGAAGCTGCTTCCCTGTAATAATTCCATGTAAAATTATTTTAAAAACTTATACTATTATTTCATAGGTACTTTTACTTCCAGGGATTATAAACAATTCCTAAAAATAATTTTCTTTCTTTTATGAAATATTTGGATAGCAAATATCAAACTTTTTGAAAATAATGAATATTTTCTATAGGATATTTTTTATTTCATTTAATTATGTTCTTATACTTAATAATTTATGGATAATTAGAATTGTAATAAAATATTTCACATATGTATTAAGTTTAGTATTTCTTGTGTAGTTATAATTTCTTTAGTTCATTCCATTCTTCAAAATTTGACATATGCTTCTCTGAAACCTGACACTTGCAGACTCATGAAATGGGACAGCTAATTTGAATTTCTGGTAGACACATTCACAAATTCATGTTTAAAATGCTGCTTTGCAAAACTTACCATTCTACCTTTAGCTGAGATCATCTTTTCTCTAAGCACTTTTCAATTTTTTCTGTCCCTTTTGTGTGTTTCAAATTTGGAGTATAAGACTGGTACCCAGGAACTATTTCACATTCATACAATTGATATAGAAAAATAATTTAACATTTTAGGTATATTTTTCTCTGCTGAAAGATACCTATAAATTAAGACATGCTTACTTTTCTGCCTAGCACTGTAACCATCTGCTTAAAAAGTGCTGATTAAATATGATATTTCAGGTCCTTCTTTAAATGAGACACACACATTTCATTTTGGGCTCTACTGAACAATTCTGAATTCCACTCAAAATGACAGTTCAGGTTTGTTCTTTCTGCTCACAGAAATTTGCAAAACTTCCATGTTTTTGAGATGATCTTTCTAGAGAGTATCTAAATGGGGTGAAGTCAACTGCTTGCTAGACCTTACAGGACAGCAGCTATCTACACAGCCTTCTACAGTCCTCCAACACATGGGCTGTCTGGTTTTTAAGCCATTAGATTCATTAGCAGATTCCATTAAGTTCTAGTAGAATAAGAAACTACAACTCCTGTAAATCAGAGCTTGACAAGCTGTAAATACGAGGTGTATGGTGTCTGGGTTAAAGCACAGGCTTTGGAATTCAACAGAACAGGGGCCTCATTGCTTACAGTTTGACCTTGGGACTATTTATGTTCTGGGTCTCATTTTCTCCAATTAAAGAATAGAGATAGTAAAAGCCACCTCACAAATTGTTGGACAGAATAAATAAGCTCATATACGTGTATAGTATCTGATATTCATTAATACCAAGGAAGATAACTATTCTGTGAAATGTGTCATTATTCTTGGGACTAACCTTGTTTTACTACAGGTAATAGAACCATTCAGCTTAGCAACACAACCCCACACAATACGTGAGAAAATCAAAACCAAGAATGTATTTTGGGGGGGAATATCCCTCTTTTTGTAGCTGACCATTCTTCAACCTTTAGGTCCAGCTGCAGGCTAAATTCGTGTTGGGTTTTTTTCCCCTCACTTTTCCTTCTTTTAAAAAAATTGAAGTATAGTTGATTTACAACGTTGTTGTGTTTTAACTCGGGTCTACCTACTGCTCAATCACCATAATCTTGCTCTAGAACTGGGGTGTTGCCACCATTTTCCTGAGGAGAAAAATCATCAAACCTATCAGAGAACACTAGTATCTTGGGTAAGCCAGACCACAGCCTGGGATATTGGAACTTAGCTCTCTGCTCACTTCTATAGTCATGCCAGCTCTCTAATTTGTCACTTTGCTTCTTGGCCTCAGCTGTATCCTTTGACAATGTAGATGGGATTTATAGCCTGGATACACTTGTGGCAAGCACTGTTGGATCACTATCCCATAGCAATCATGCCTTCTTCCTTGCTACCATGATTTTGTTTTTGTTTGTATAACAGTATGCCCAATCTTGGATGTGAACTGTTCCACTTCAGCTAATCATATTCCCTTTTACTAGTTATTGTTTTAGAAAAACCCAGTTTTCACCAATAAGATGTAAGAGGAAGACAACTGAAAGATGTTTAGAACGATTATTTTCCTGATGAAAATGAGAGCTATATAGGGAGAAAACTCTTTGTTTTTGCCACCACCTTTTACTGTTTTGAATATTATCATGTGAGGTGATCCAAAACTTGAAGCTGATGCAGTGATCTTTTAAATACTAGGTGACAAACCTGGGGATGGAATTCAAGGCAGTGATGAACAGAGCAGGCAAGAACCCAGGTCCTTGAAGCCGTCACAGATGTGTCAAAGAGCCCCGAGACTGCCCAGTTCTGGGGTTTCTGTTAGTATCATTTTACCAAACTTCAATTGGCTTTCAGCTGTATTTAGCCAGAATATCCTGATTCAAACAATATGCATAGTAATAACTGAGAGTTCATTTTAAAAATTGTATTAGCATTTAAGTGATCTAAACCTTCTTTGCCAAAGGATCCACTAAATCAGAAATTTCCTACTTTTTCATGAACAATTAACTAAGCAAAAAAAGAAAGTCAGCTTGGGACTTATTTCACTTTATTTTAATTTACTTGCTTCTTTTCTTTTTGTAGGGAAGAACATGTATTTATTCCAACAGTCACTTATCATGTCCTCAATATAATGAAGAAGTGCCTGTAAGGAGCAGATAATTGACAAAGAGAGATGAAATTTGCTCATAAATAACTATAATACAGAGCAAATATGATGAATAAGCAATAAAAAAAGTAAGATGTGGTTTATTGAAAGTAGAAAGATTACTACCATTAAGCTATTTCTATACCACATATCCTAAAGAAAGGAAATGAGAATCTTGGAGTAATGCAGAGAATTAAAGTTTTGAAGTGGGAAAAATCTGAGTTTGGTTTACTGCAGCTTACCAGAGGAATGACCCTGCATAAGTTAATTAAAATCTCTGTCTTGAAAATTGCATATTTGTAAAATGATGATAATCACACTTTCTTGAAGTAGATTAAATGATGCATATAAAATCCTTGGAGCATATTTGTCACTCCACGCATTTTAATTTTCTCATTCATTTTGGATGTATAAACCAATGTTTTGATATAAGGAGGGTAATTATATTATAGTTGAATATTGCATTAATATGAATTTTTATTCATTCATTCAATATTTGTTCTTAAAACAACTCTAAAATGTAGGCAATAGAGTTAACATCATCTATAATGTCAGAAAAGTGGATTTAGGTGCTGTTTTGTTTTGTGACAAGTAAACTAAATAAGAACCTATATGGCCTAAAATCCAGTCTCATTTTTGCAATAACCTGGCCCGTGGCCATGAGTGTGCAAGTAACCTCTCCTACCCACACTTAACACTTTATAAACTAGAAATATTCAACTGGATAAACTGTAATTCCCTCAGTAACTCTTTGGCTGCTCAAGTGATGTAGTTTTCAAGAGAACAGAATCTGAGACTCGAAGTTACATACTTTAATTTTGAGTCCAATATTTTTTTGATGGGGAGAACCTCACACTAACTATAAGTGAAGTAATAATTAAATGAATTGGACCATGGCACAAAATAGTTTAAATTCACTTTCCACTTTCAATGTCTCTAAATACATATTAATTACCCTCTGCCATTTACAGTTCCAGATTAAAACAATAATTTACCATCATAGATCAACTACATTAATTAAAAAATTGATGAGGATAAGAAAAAAGGACTGGACATCCCGGCAGCCATGAGTACAACCAATGTCCAGAACTTAGTTTCAAACACCATTCTCTAACAAAATAAGCCAAAGCTTCTTGGAATACTGGTTGGATTTAGGGCTTTACCAGGAAAAATACAAGATAAGATCAAAGTATCTTATTGTGACAAAAAATATGGACATGATATTTAAAGAACAATGGAAGGACATGTGAAAGGGACACAAGAGTAAAATTGAAAGAGCTTCCAATGGCCAAGAGTGAAACAATTTGAGCAACAAAATTAATAACATTTGTTTTTAATAACATTTATAGTGAAGTGAATTATAACACAAAGTATAAAATAAATATCCATGAATCTACACTGATATAAATAACTGAATAAATAAATAAATATGAGAGAAGAGATCAATCTTCCATAGAGAAGTATTCCAAAAAATTGATGTTGGCAATCCCCCTACAGGCAGTGGTGCTAAATCCTCCCCACTCTCCTAGCACGGGCTGTACTCAGTGACTCGATTTCAAAGACTAAAATATGCAAAGGTTTGTAGAGTGTGAGGATAGAGTAGTGGCTTCCAGTAACTTCATAGTCGAAAAACCTGCCAAACACTACCTGTAATGCAGTGTGGTATCCTGGAAGGGATATAGAAAAGGAACATTAATGGACAAACTAGCAAATGAAGTTCAGAATTTAGTTAAGAGTAATGTGCCAACGTTGGTTAGTTTTAACAACTTCTCCTTAGTAATAAAAGCTGCTAACAAAAGAGTAAACTAGGTGAGGAGTATACAGAAACACTCTGTAAATCTGTCTGTAAATCTACAACTTTGTTAAAATTCAAAGTTTATTAAAACAAAAGGAGAATTGTAATCATCAAATTTATGTCTCATTTTAATTTTTAGGTATATAGATACTGAAAAAGAATTGTATTACATAACATATAAAGAAACAGACCTTTTTTATTCAGTTGTTTTATATCTGTTATTTTATCTGTTGTAACTTTAACTGCATAATTACATTTGAAAGGCAACAGTTTTCACACATGCAAAACAGCTTATCACTCCACCAAAATGGCAGTTAAGCTACAACTGGCCTTTGACATACCTTCTGCTTTTAATAAATAACTGCTTTAGGGATGGTTTTGCTCTTATCAGCTCTAAATGTTTTATGTGTGTGAGGCGGGGGGATTGTAAGTGTTTATATGTATATGTGTGTATGCATTACAATTATCTAAGCATTTTAATTGTCACCTTGGATTTCCTGGTCACTTGTGATGTATCTTAATCTTTTAGCTATGATACATTAACAATTAAAATACTACTGCTGAGAGAATTTATGACATGAATTCTTATTAATGATGTATTTTTCCCTTACCACTATAATTAGTTGAAAGAAAAAATAACACGTCAAAAGTAATCCTCTACAAAATGAAACTTTTTCTAAAGGAAATCTAAATAATTCGTGTAGAGCAAAGGGCTTAGGGAAATGCCCTTAGCCTCTCTCCATTTCTTGTTGTGGTTGGGAGCCCACATGTATCTTGTCCTGGTGTAATTTCATTTTCCTTTCATCCCATGCAGGGACTTCTCCTGGATTGTGTTGTAGGAAGAGGATGCTGTACACTTGCTGTGCCCCTCTTTTTTCCAAGGCATGGATAACAGTGACCTTTCAGGAAGAGGAAGGAGGTAACCTAAGCATGGGCATCAGCTGCTTGGGTGATCACACATCAGTCTTGAGGATGCCAGCTGACCAGCTGTGCTTGCTCACACAGAGTTCATGGGAAATGCAAACTGTGTACCACCATCCAGTTGAAGGAGGGGCAGCTGCTGCCCTCAGGCAGTGGACAAGTCTTCACAGTTAACTTGACTTTTTAAAATTCATAAATTATTTTAAGTATTTGTGCTGCCGTAGACTTAATGAAACATATGGAGTGTTTTGTTATAGAGTCAGGGTTGAATCCTCCCTCCAAAATTACTACTTGTATAAACCATTTAGAATCCCTGAGATTTGGTTATAGTACATGCCACACGGGACCATTCATATGTACCTCACATGGCTATCTTGAAAGTAAAGTGAGATTATACACATATGCATACATGCACACACTCACATGCACACATTTACCATTGCAACTCAAATTTAAGTTGAAATCAGACGGAGTCAAGATCCTGTTAATGATTTTGCAAAGTATGCCTAAAAGACACCTAAGATATTTACTCTATGAATCATGGAGATGAAGTAGCTTAAGAAAAAGAGGTCATATTTTCAAGGAAGTAAGCATATGGCATAAATGAATTTCCATCCAAAGAGTAAAATAAAGATAATTTCTTCATTGTCTATGATTAGGCATAATTCCTGCCTCCATTGTATCTACTTTAAAGATAATGTAAATCCTATTTTGGGGGGATACTCCTTGGTCTGGATCATGTCAAGTTTGGGGAAATGGAGTGAAGTGGAATAGGGGATGAGTATGTATGTCTATAAAATCATATGTTATTGTTAGTGTATGTGTTGACTCAATCTTTAGGAATATTAACATCTAAAACCTGCTGCTGCTGTAGAGTAATTTTGCAGAGATTCTTTTGTAAGCCAACCTAGCTTCCTCTTTAGGTTCTGCTCTCTCTCCAGTGCTGCTGCCCAGTCTCATCACCCAGACATAATGCTGAAGTCTCTAAAAACTTTTTTATCCTTGTGTATCTAATCTGAGGAATTTCTTTATGGCTTATCACCAATAGAATGAAAATATAGGAGTAATTTTCTTGCTTCTTCAGAGATATTTTCTATGTCCATAAATGCTTTGTCTTATCCTTTATTTCTTAAAATCTTCCTAATTAAAGTTAAGAACTTGGTTCTTTCAAAGACAACAGCTAGAAAGAATGCAGCCTAATTCTTTAGTCTGCCATAAGCCTTTAAGGTAACACCCTGAAGCAGTTACCAGCTTGAGAGTTTACAATGGAATAGAAAAAATGTTTCTAGGGAATGAAAAATACACAAAAACTTAGGTTAATATTTTAGATGTGCATTTCACCTACTTACACATTTAAAACCTTGAAGCAACCATGGAACTAGGAACCTTAAGATGGCTTGCAGACACAGAGAGAGTTAAAGGATGCATTAAGGTAATGGACAACACATTCAAAGAATGTAGATAAACATTGGAATTTCTCAGAGATGCTATGCTCCACAGCAGATAACTCAAACACGTTTATCCTATATAATAATATCCTGACTTTAGCAGCAGTTTCTACACAAATGTGTCATTTTGGAATAAAAATGAAAACTTCCACCACTTTAATGAAAAATATCAAATTGAAGAAACTAAATTTGGAGAAATAACCAACTTTTCATTTTGTAATTTAGGAGAAGTACAATAAAATCTACTAACATGAAAGAAGAAGGTTGAAGTTCCTGACAGGGACTATAATTAAGCAATAGCATATTATTTTGGTGAAGGGGGAAAAGGAAGAAAATAAACACACGAAGCCTCTGTATATCAAGAAGAATATATATCTATGAGACAAAATAAAATTTACATTGTAAATTACTGGCAGAGGAAGAAGAATGATGTGGCAATTAAATTTAAGGAGTTAAAATGTGTAAAAAGCAGGATTAAGTGAATGGTGACTAGCAACGGGAAGCAAACAATGTTGGCAATTAGTACCCTCTTTGGAAAATATTAGGAGGTTATTTCCTTGAAATGGAAATGTGAGAATTAGAAATTTAATTCCTTGACCCAAATTGTCAAGCTTCCCCAGGTAGGATATAGGCAGTGAAAGAGGCATTACATTTGACATTTCAGAGTATGTTAGTGTCCTTCGAGAGAGTGATTGTGGTGTACAATTTTTAAAAGATAAAGTATTAATTAGAGTGTTGTGAGAGGGAAGGATTCTCATATAGAGATGCATGGGAAGAGGCAGGGAAGTGAGGCAGAGTGCTTAGGCTTCTTTTCATGAGGTTTGGTCATGAGGTAAAGGAAAACGGGACATCCACTTGAGAGCAATAAAAGGTTAAAAGTGTATCCATTTAGACACTTTTGAACATGTCTGTCAGAGGGGTGAAGAGACTGTTCCAAAGTAAAGAATGAAAATTAAAAATCATTGAACAGTGATGTGAATAAAATCCTAGCAGAGGTGAAATAAGAGGGGGAAGAGCAAGTGCCTTTGAAAAGGTCAGTATGATGATGAAGATAACTTGGAAGGTTAAATGTGACTAGAAAAGGAGCACAGAGAATTTTAGTCTTTGTAACCTATATTTTCTCTTGGTATTGCCGTTTTGGGTATATGTACTCGCAACAGAGAATCTGACAATGTTGGCAAATATTTGAGACTGATTACTTGTAAGGTTTCTCAGGGTCCTGATACTCAACAATCTTAGTTTATATTGGATAAATATTGAAATCATTCCAAAATATTTTTGCCTAAGAAGTTAAAATAATAGTATGATAAATAAAAATAGAATTTTCTTGTTGTGATTAATATACCTCTGAGGTAATACAAACTTATATTTCAACAAAATATTTAATATAGAGAGGAAAAATAGGGGGAAATGTAATATGAAATCTGAAAGTTACTACAGAGAGATTTATTTTTCCAGGAAACACTGAATGAAAATATTGCCAATGGAAAGGAATTGCAATAAGCAACATTGCAAGTAAGCTCCAGATTATCAAAAGCCAGTGATTTCATTGTAGAAAATGTCATAGTCTATAAAATATCCAAGGCCATATTTACTATCTTATTAAACATTTTTATGTCAAATTCATATCATTGAAGTATAATTAAGAAAATTACATGAATTTGGACTATAGTAAATTCTAAATAATTTTCATTGGTTTCCTTCTATATGTATTTGATAAGGGTTTCATTATAGGTCATTTTAAATTTTGTAATATCTCTCTATGAACTTACAATATAATTGTCATCAGAGTTGTTCGATGTCATCATAGACTGTGTTAGGAGAACATTAGGTTATGATATTTCTTTTCAGGAAGCATATATTAATTTATAACAATGAGCATATTGATTTTATAATTTATGTAGTATTAGAAATAATTGTTCATTATAGTTGAAACTTGTGTTTCAGTGGTGTAATCAGCAAAAGATATTCTATATTTATCATTGTATTAAGAAGCTGCATTTGAAAGATTGATAGTACAGATACAATGCAAATATCATCACTGTAAAAGAAAAATTGTTCCAGACAAATTAAACAGGCAAGGAAGACTTTATTTAAGACTATTGCAATAGGGGAGAGAGATTAAGCTCAATCTCACTGACACAAAAGGCAGGGGGATTTTTAAATGCTGTGGTGAGCTAACAGAAAAAGGAGGGTTGGTCAATGTGAGTAGGCCATCTGTGTTTGCTAATTGGTGCTTGGTGCTTATCAAAGTTAGGTTTCTATTCCACCCCCCCACCCCGCCCCCGTAGATACTGGAAGACAAAGACCCTATCTTTCTCAGTAATTACATTTCAAAGGGTGACTCCAAGGTCCTGGATGAAGACATTCCTGGGTTGTAAAACCCCTGGCAGGAGGCTGAAAGAAGATTTACATCTCAAAGAGGCAAAGAAAGGCTTGCAATTTTTCTAAAGTAAATTCTCTAAGGAAAGGGAGGTTGGGAACTATAGTCAGGAAGAAACCTGTCTAATGTTTAGTCAGGCTGAGGGGAATGTGACAATCATCCTGGTCATCACCTGTCTCCTTTCTATTTATTATTAATTCATGGTCTGGCTTCACAGACCCACTTCACATACCTTACAGTAGGGACAATATGTTTTCAGTACCTAAAACCCAATCTCAACAATTTAATCTTCATGAATATAGTAAGATTTACTTAGGCTTGACTAGTGGGAAGGCAGCATGATCTTGAAGGTTATGAACAAAATTCATCATCTGAATCATTTATTCAGTTCATTGAATCATACTCTCTGCAAGCATTTTTAAATGCCTAAACTGGGGCAAGAATTTACTAATGATTCCCCGATTCGCAGAGACTATATAGTGAACTTAGTTCACTAAACTAAGTTTATCAGACAAATGGGAAAGCAAAACTAAACTCTGATTGCAACTTTCTATTGTATTGCAACCAAATTCTTTTTACTCCAACCACAAACCATGTAGTACTAAACTCAATAGTGAAAGAAGCTGGCTTAAGGATAAACATATGACCTTGTTTTTTTAATATATCACATATCGTTCCCCCCCTAGTTTTTCCCTGTCATTTGCATCCATTTAAACTTCCTTTAAATTTTATTGTAAAGAATTGCTCCACATTTTCATGGTCATTGGATCTTTACCAAAAGCAGGCAACTTTTTTTTTTTAACCAATGAAATGGGAAATATTCTCTTCTAGTTCTTTTCTTTGTCATTAACTTTGGTGAATCTTTTGGTGCTTGGGCTGAACTTTTTCATACAGCCTTGCAAATATCTCTCTCCCACTTAAGAACTTCACATAGAAAATGAGTCCCCAAAATACTGAATAAAGAAATGTGTTAAATACAACGTGCAGCCACTGCTTTCAAGGATAGAAGAGTCTACCTGGGGTAACAAGTTACAATGTGACATACAAAATCCTTCTATGAAGACATGTATATGGTGATGATTGAGCACAGAAGAAAAACACTTAACTCAGTCTGGACAGTGAATAAAAGTTTCCCAGATGAGTCCTGAAAATCAAACAGGTATGAATCAGATAAAAGATGGAGGAAAGGCATGCTTTTTAGAGAGTAGTATTATGTAAAAGTCTTCGACATGAAAGAAGACAGATTATTTAGGGGCTCTAAAGAGGAGTATAGCAAGGTAAATGAAAATAAGGTCATTAGAAGGAGAATAAACTGGAGAGGTGGGTAAACTTTATATCATGACTGATATTGTGTGTCATGGAAAGGTCCTTGGATTATTATCCCATATAATATGTAAAATGTTTGTATAAGTAAATGCTATAAAACTATAAATTCTAATAATTATTTGTTGAATTAAACTGATATATATGTGAATTGAATTCAATTTAATAGCCACTTCTTGTAAGATATTTTCTAGTGGGTATCCCTTCAATTTTTCCCTAAAAAAAAAATTGCCTATTTCAATGTGTTTGAGTAGTTGAGAACTTTCCAATTTCATTTTGCCCATGGAAAATCCATTATATAATGTAAAGTTGGCAGTATCTTAAACATTTACCTTACTTGCCACAGGTGAAAGTGAAAATCAGTGTGTTAATAGAGCAACATGGCAGTTTTCCTGTCAACCATGAAATATTATTAGGAAAGTCAGGGAGATAAATACAAAGTATAAGTTCCTTAAAAGAAATAGCTGAGAAAATTTTAAATTCATGAGCTCCCATGGATATTACGTTGCTTGGAAATATTTATGTGAATATTATCGTGTCCAAGTTTCATAAGTGGTTACTGAAAAGTTGAGGGGCACCTCTAGCCAGTTTTTGGCATGTGACTACATTAATTTTGAATGCAGGACTATATTAATCCTTCTTACACTCTTCTCAGCAAAAATAAGAAATGTGTCATCCTCAAAACAAGCCTCTAAGCAGGTCAGCATGAATTTGAAAGTATATCAACATAAATGAAGAAGAGCAAGGGATAAACGAGTCCCTGTAGAACACAAAGATTTATTGTGGCAAGAGGACAAGTTAAGGCAGCTGGAGAAATGAGTTCCTTGTTGCCTGTTTGTGCAAGTAAAACATTGTTCTACAGAATTTATTTTGTAGAGTTGATAAAGGCTTAGAAATTAGTACCTCATGTCAAAGCCAACTATATAAGAGACAATCTTTACAATAAATTTTATATATTCTTTTCTCAGTTAAAAAGCTGGATAAACTTTAATGAAGTCATATGTCTTAAGAGCATAAAGTTTCAATATTAAAAAAAACCCTAATCTTAGAAAGTGAGGAAACACACATTGAACAATCTTGATAAGAGTCATCAGTTAGTCAAGCTAATGTTTAGATATTACATTAGTGAACTTTGGAGCATTTCTGGACAGTCTGTATATGGTATTGTGAGATATTATTGTAAAATACATGTCTGCCTAGGCCATTGAACATGGATAACTTTTGTTTTCATTTCTTTTACTTTCAAAAATTCAACTTTCAAGATATTAAAGAAGATATCATTGAAATTTAGACCTGCTGTTGCTGTATTATACTAAAATTCATATAGCAAAGCTTAAATTATAGGCTTGTCTTCTGAGTTACTGAATGATTTCCTTAAAACCACAAGTATTTATTGAGTACCTCCTATATGACAAACACTCTTCTAATCAAGGGATATACAGTTTTAGAAAACAGGAAGAGTCATTACTCTTATGGTATATCTATTATATTAGAGGATGACCAGTCAGTATATATAAATTCTGATCAGTCAGATGGCATAAGTTTTATGCAAAGAAATAAAACATATGCAGTGTTAGGGGCTATCTCTCCAATCAGGTAATGTTTCAATAGAGACAGTAAATCCTTTCAAAGTATCTTGACGAAAATGATAAAAACATGACTCATAAAGCATGTCAATTATTTTTATCCAACACAATTAGAGGGGGAATCAGGAAGATGCTAAAGTTGGTTCCAAAAAATATTTTTGAAAATGATAAGAAATGTTAAAAAAAGCTTTTAGGCTAGATAGCATTGAATAATATCCCATATGGCAGTAAAACACCACTATTGAGATTATTTTTTTCTGAAGGGAACTCTACAAGTTAATGTGGAACATAACCGAGTTTTGGCTCTAATCAAATAGGAAATTACAAAGTCAAACAGAAAAATTCTCCTATGAAATCAAATAATTCCTAGGTGGGCTTGTTAAACAACAATACTCAAATATAACATTGGAGGACCTGGAGTACTCTTTTGATTTCCAAGCTTTAAATTTTATTACTAATGTTTTGCAAATATTTTATTCATCACCTTATGTTTCCCTTACATGGGAGGATGTATGACTATCTTTGGCTAATAAGATATGAGTAGAAATCATAAGAACGCACTTCTATGCTGAGGTAGTATAAAACTTACCTGTAATTCTTTAGTATCTGTCTCCCTCTGCTATGCCATTTGAGGAAGATACTTATTCTTTTCTTGTGGTGGTTCCTTCATGAAACTGCGTACATTAGACACACTACCTCTCCCTTCAGTCTCCAGTCCCCAAATAACAACATGTAAAATAAATGAGATACAGATTTTGTGGTGTTAACTTATTGAGATTTGAGTGTCAATTTGTTACCATTATATAACTAGTCTACACAGACCAATACAGGAATTGTTACCCAAGGGATGGTGGCATCTTAGAGGTCACCAATGTTAT